AGCAGCAGCCTCCCAGCCCCAGTTCTCGTTGGCGCCAGCCGCCAAGGACGGGGCTGTGGCCGCCGACATCCACGAGTAGGCCGAGTGACTCGGGTACATCCTGCTAGATCTGCCCGCTCTCCTCTCTCCTCCCTCTTCCTTTTCTCCTCCTACCTCTCCTTCCTTTTTTTTTTCTCCTACCTGACCTTCCTTTTCCCGCTCCTCCTCTTTCCTCCTCCTCTTTCCTCCTCTTCACTTCTGTTGTTTACTACTCTTCCCTCTCCCTTTCCAACTCTCCCCTCCTTTTCTGCTCCTTCCTTCCTACTCCTGCTTCTTCTTACTCCTCTCTTGTTCCTTTTCTCTACCCCTCCCTACTACTCCTCCTCCAAACTACCGTTTCCCCCCTCTTACTCCTCCTTCCTACTTCTCCCCTCCTACCCCTGCCTCCGTTCACTCCTTCTTACTCCTAAACGACGGGCAAGGGGGAGGGAGGTGGGCCCTCCCAACTCTCCCAACTCTATTTTTCTTTTTATTCTATAGAAATTAGCAAAATGAAACACAAAACCCCCCAAAACCACGTCCAAAGACGGGCAGAAATAAGGAAGAAGCAGGACCAACAAGAATCACAACGGTTAATCCGCAAGAGGTCGAGAAATCGTATTCCTGGACGACCAATCAGTTGTTGGACATATCCTGGGGGTATCCAACCTCCGAATCCCCTCACAACTTTACTGCGGTCACTGCTAGTGCTGCGATGGTGAAGTGTACCCGAAGCGTTGATGTTCAAAAACAGGACATATAAACCTCCAAATCCCAAAGACAATCTCAGGTACGGCGTGGATGAGGTATATCCAAGGATCCGGGGTTCAAAAATAACATTCCCAACACCCAAAGTCTAAAAACGTTGTGTTTATCCTGTATGTATCCAAGCAAATCCCCTCACAACAAATGATGGTGCTGCTGCGCTGGTGGGGTATATATCCAAAGCGACGGGATCCAAAAAGAATATATCCAAGATCCAGAAAGTCCAAGAACGTTGTATATCCTGTAGTGTGTGAAGCCTCTAAATCTTCTCAAAACTGCAGCACTACGTCGGTGAGGTACATCCAAAGCGTTGGGTTTCAATAATAATAATAATAATAATAATAATAATAATAATAATGATAATAATAATAATAATAATATATCCAACGTCCAAAAGAACGCCCTCGTTGCTAATATCTCCAATCTGTTGAAATCTCCAACTTGTGTGAAGGAACAGTCTATCCGCGGAACACCTTGTACTCAGCAAACCGCTGACAGAGATGTCTCAGGGTTGAGTAAAATCCATCGCTCTCTGTAGATCCACGACGTAAATCCAGAACATTATCCCACTCTCACTGAGCTTAATATCTACAAAGGCTGTAGTAGTGGCTTATCCAACATCTTTAATTTTTCACGATTTACGAATTTTTTAAAACTTTAATTTAATCCTGAGAAAGGCGCCTATTGTTTCATGCCAGCGCCGTAATTCCGTAAAAAATTGGGCGGATCACATCATTATCATTGTGTCTTGACTCCCGAGTTCACAACTACACGCACAAAGACTCCAACGCCATGACTAGGTAGTTTAGGGGAAAACAGAAATAGATATATAAACATATATAAACACATGTACACACAGTCGATCCTCCCAGAACAAAACGGCGAAGTCGGCACTCTTCTCTCCCACCCCCACCCCCTTTTTTTTGGGGGGGGGGGGGTTGGATTAAAATTAATAATTGCACATATATAGATAAATCAATTAACCGATTTTTTTTTCCTTCACTGAACACCCCCCGAAAAATATAACAAAACCGAGCACTGCTCACACGATCAGCTATGGTCTTCAAAACTGCGTCCACCTAGAGAACCAATCAAAAACAGGTAACCGTACACAGTTCAGAGCCTGGTCACGGACTACTCGGAGCTCAAATAAAAACAAAACAGTTCTTTTTTAAAAATTATTAATCTATTTATTTTATAGTATTCATTTCTTCATTTTTATTTATTTATTTATTTTTCATTAATCTATTTATTTTATAGTATTCATTTCTTCATTTTTATTTATTTATTTATTTATTTATTTATTTATTTATTCATTTATTTATTTATTTATTTATTTATTTATTTATTTATTTATTTATTTATGTATTTATTTATTTATTTATTTTTTTTTGGGGGGGGGGTCCTGTTTGTTTGTCTTTTAATAACTGCATATTCTCAGAAAATATAAAAAGTATAATAAACATCCAGGAACTCAGAGATTACGGATAGAAAAGCAAAATACATGTTTAATAATTGACATAACACAGGAAAGGCAGACGCCCCAGAGATATCCAACCCACTTTATAAAAAGTCTAATAACCCCTGATTAGTATTAATGCAATGTGGTAATTTATTAGTGCTTGTATACTTTTAGCATTCCAAAACTTAAAAGGAAAAACCCGATAATTTACTTTCTAATGAAGTGGAGGAAATCGAAAATTAAAGCTCAAAATTCAGTATCTCATAGTCAGTATAACATATCTGTTAGCTTACATAGCACTAGATTTAGACGAATATTTCGTGGTATCAATTGTGGAAAAGAACGTTCACTGTTCTTTTCAAAAACATAACAAGGGAATTCATTTTTAAAGTTTAAAAAAATTTATTAAAAACAGTGAATATCTGGTTTTACTACTGGGGTTTTCATTTATATTTTCGAAGGTTACATTTTATTGGTTGTCGAATTCATCTGACAATTTTTTTTTATCTACCTAGACTAAACTGTATTTTCATCTATTTCATAAAGTTTTAAAGTATTCTTGCTTTTGTTTTAGAATATACCCTAAAAACATACGTCACATCTTTATTCATATGTTTAGTAATTTGTAAATCGATTTGTAACACCCAATAGACAGCAAACAAATTCAAATTCCTTGGGTGAAAATATTTATAAAATTGACCATTTATCAAAATTCCAAAGTTGGTCTTCAAGCGCATTTTCCTTTGGGAAAATATTTAGATTTATTCAATTGGTCATTTTTAAAAAGGATTTTTTAATATTCCAAAATGGCTCAAATTCATTTTTTAAAATGTTTATGTTGATATAAAATGTATTTGATCATTTCCGAACCGATTTTTAATATTCCAAAGCTAGCAATCAAACTCAAAATACTTGGAAAAATATATTCATACATTTAACCATTTCAAAATCGACTTGTAATATTCCAAAAAATTGGCAATTAAACTTAAAAAATTCATGGGGAAAGATATTCATATGTTTGAACATATTTATATATATTCCAGAAGTGAAAAGCAAAACTCAAATTCATAGGGGAAAAACAGATGTATACATTTCACCATTTAAAAATTGACTTCTAATATTCCAAATTTACTTTTGATATTTTTAAAGCGGCAATCAAACTCGATATTTTTTGGGGGGGGAACGTCTGCACATTTGATCATTAAGGAATCGATTGTTAATATTCCAAATGTGGAAATATTCTTTTGAAAAAAATATTTATACATTTGACCATTCAGAGTTGCTTTGTAATATTCCAAAAGTGGCATTCAAACTCCTATGCATCCGGGGAGGGGGGGAGAGTGAGAGAAAGATATATATTGACACATCTGACCATTTAAGAATCGCTTTTTAATGTTCCAAAGGGGATAATCAAACTCAAATTTATAGGAAAAAATATTTATATTTGGCCATTTAAGGAATCAACGTATACTTTTCCCGAAGTGGCAATCAAACTAAGTTTTTCTTGGAAAAAAAAAATTAGAATTTGTACATTTGACCAAAAAAAAAGAAAAATAATCTAATCAAATGCAAATTCCGTGGAACAAAAAGAATTACACAAATTGTATCAATTATAGAACGATTTTTTAATATTCTAAAGGCGCAATCAAACTCAAATTTCCAGAGAAAACACAAAAACATTTACAGTTCCGATCATTTAATATTCGATTTTTAATGTCAGGGGGGGGG